CATTGGTGAATTAGTGAAATGAGCTATAAAATTATTTGTATGAACATCACAGTTCCTATAAAATATTTCACTGTGCAGAACTAATTAATGACCATCATCATGTAAACCACACAAGTAAACTGATATTCTTAGGACAAAATTCTTACCATGAAAGACTTAATTCAACATTAAATTCTATTGAAATAGGTTGAAATAGTTAGAAAATCAAAAAATCAAAATTCAAATTTAAATTAACAAATCAAAAAACTATAATTATTATTACTATTATTATACAGTATTTATAACAGCGATTGATATAATATTAAAATTACCCTAAGCGCTTTACAACATATATCCATTCACATATAAGTATTAACAATAAAATATGAAAGCCCATGTTATAAAATCCTAAAACAAACAGATTTTGAAAATATTGCATATAAAACTATACTATGAAATTTACTGATAAACAATAAAATTTATATACAATGGGCATGGTAAAATTACCATAATAATAAATAAAAAAAGATATTAAATTTTTTTTAATAACTTTAAACAGTAATAAAAAAGAAATAAATGAAAAACAAAAGGGGTGGTCTCTGATGAAGGTTTCCCTTTAATTATAAATACAATTCCGGAAAAAACCGAAACATTGCTACATAGCACAGTATCCATGAAAGGCCAGAGATATGATTTGCACCAAAATGTGTGGATATTGGATCAAATTCTATGAAATTATCCCTAATTGTGTCTTTTTGAATTAAAATGTTGCTTATTAGATTAGTGCTAGCTCTAGGCAGAGACCCCCCCCCCTAAAATACACGTCTGCATATGACCGTGTTTATCTCTTCAATTTAAATTGTTGCAATATATGTTTTTATCTTTATTTTATTTATATATAAAAATTAATCAAAATTTGTTCAGAGTTCTATTTCTTGTTCTTGATTTACAAGAATGCTTCTGTCTAAGTTTTGTAAAATTCCACAAAGGTTTGACAAAAGTTATTCAAAATCTTTCACTTACCTAAATGTTGACTGTAATTATATTTATTAGAATGGGTGGAAAATTCAAAATTTTACTCTACATGTCGGGTATTTATCAAGTATGAAGAAACTAATCATCAGTAATATACAGAAGACATAACAAAAAAAAACCAACTATTTTTTTCTTAACTGCAATGTTTTTGTCAAGAAGAAACTTCTGTCCTTGTTCTTGAAATTCTATAGTTATTGATGTCTTAATACTTTAACCCAATACTATATCTAAATAATAACTTCAAAAATGCCATTTATCTGTAAAATATAAAAAATGAAACAAATATTTTAAAATTTTACTCTTGATCTTGAAGAAGCTATTTATATCATTCCAGGGGCCTTAGTGCCCAAGAGGTCTTAGTATTCTAACTGCTGTATATTTAGCCTGTCAACTATGAGGTTTTGAATCCCGCACATGGCAGGTGCCCTCAACTCCAATCATTATTGACTATGATTGTTAGTTTTCCTACCGAATGTCATGGTTCCGCCTAAAATGGAAGTGGCCGCATTTGTGTTCAGTCTCAATATTTAGATGTATGTTGTATTTGATGATAATACATAACATATATAAAGGGTTGAGAATGAACAGGAATGCGGCCACTTTCATTTTTAACAAAAAAACATCTGAAAAGTGACACTTTATGGCATATTTGATAGATTTTTCATATATATAAGCTTGAATTTTGCCGTCTTTAATGACTTAATCAGTTGAAATCTTTCACATCAACTAATTGAATCGACTGAAGAAGACACTAGTACTTATGTGTTTAAAAAGTGCCCAAAATCTTTCATCAGATGTACGTGAAATTTGAGGCCAAAATTGGCCCTTACTGGACCTACTCCTTTAAATGTTGATGACACTAGAGAGAAGGATAGCAATGTCTAGCTTGGGGAACTCTAGTTGCAGGCTTGACAAATAGTAAATTGTAAAACAGGATGACTTAAGAATGTCAGTTTTTTTGTGTAATGAATTTTTATAAACTTTTTAAATTTCAAAACTCATATCAAATTTTAGACATCATTGTTAAGAGAATACATTTTCAGATTATTCAATTGGTAGGTGAGCATTGCATTCAATATCCTCTAAAGTTTCATTCCAGTACACAATAAAAATATTTTTGAAAATAAGTTAATTCTTCAAACATCAGTCATTTCTTATTTTTTTATTTTTCTTATCTTAGTAAGTTATATGCTTTCATATGAAAATAAAATACTAAACACAAATAATCAATTTATAAAAGTTCACATTGCCTTGCATTAATTTTAAAAAAAAAGGGGGGATCTTCTGTGTGTAAATTCAAAAGTCAGTAGACAGTTTGCATTTGATTCTGATAGCAATCTATTTATGTGTAACAGTATTTTGCAATCCATAGTAGAGTCATAGTACACAGCTGGTCATTTCTGGTCATTCATCTACAATATTGTGGTACAAAATGTAATTAGACAATTTCCTGCTGTGAAGACAAACAAGTGTGTTTGAATAAAGGATGTATCAATTAGCTGTTTATTGGTAAATGTTCTGGCTATATAGAAGTAACCCAAAATTTCATTCTAAAATTTAGGAGATGTCAAATTGCACTATTTATTGGTGTTAATTAATGGTGAAAAATACAGATTAAATTCTAAATATATAATTAGGTTGAAATTATCATCTACTTGATTACATCATAAGTCTGAAACTAATCAGATGTCAGTATTTATTTTTGATGTGTTTAAAAAGGTCATTAAGGCATCAAATATTTGTCAAACCAAATTTTCTTTGTTGTCGAGCCTTCGACTTTAGTCGAAAAAGCGAGACATAGCGATCCTACATTCCGTCGGCGTCGTCGTCGTCGTCGTCGGCGGCGTCCACAAATATTCACTCTGTGGTTAAAGTTTTTGAAATTTTAATAACTTTCTTAAACTATCCTGGATTTCTACCAAACTTGGACAGAAGCTTGTTTATGATCACAAGATTGTATCCAGAAGTAAATTTTGTAAAAATAAAATTCCATTTTTTCCGTATTTTACTTATAAATGGACTTAGTTTTTCTGCCGGGAAATATTACATTCACTCTGTGGTTAAAGTTTTTAAAATTTTAATAACTTTCTTAAACTATCCTGGGTTTCTACCAAACTTGGACAGAAGCTTGTTTATGATCATAAGATAGTATCCAGAAGTAAATTTTGTAAAAAAAAAATCCATTTTTTCCTTATTTTACTTTTAAATGGACTTAGATTTTCTGCCAGGAAACAATACATTCACTCTGTGGTTAAAGCTTTTAAAATTTTAATAACTTTCTTATACTATTTTGTATTTGTACCAAACTTGGACAGAAGCTTGTTTATGATCAAAAGCTAGTATCTAGAAGGAAATTTAGTAAAAAAATAAATCCATTTTTTCCGTATTTTACTTTTCAATGGACTTAGATTTTCTGCCAGGAAACAACACATTCACTCTGTGGTTAAAGTTTTTAAAATTTTAATAACTTTTTTTATACTATTTTGGATTTGTACCAAACTTGGACAGAAGCTTGTTTATGATCAAATACTAGTATCTAGAAGGAAATTTTGTTTTCTTCCAGTTAACATTACATTCAGTCTGCAGTTAAAGTTTTTAAACATTTATTAGATTCATAAACTATCCTGAATTTTTACCAAACTTGGACAGAAGCTTCTTACAATCAAAAGATAGTATCAAGAGGAATATTTTTATTGATTTACTTCCATATTTTTGTTGAGCCTGCGATTAACAGAAAAAGTAGGCGAGACACTGGGTTCCGCGGAACCCTTACGAATTTTTTTTATCTTCCCATGTGATATAATTTTCCACTGAGTGATGCTAATCATAGATGCTATTAATCCAATCATTTTGAAATTTGCACCTGATTAACATTCAACAGTTTTGTATACATGAAACAATTCAAGATAAAAATCGTAAGTTGCACATCTGTAAATAAAGACAATGCAATTTCCCATAGGAACCCCCTTTACAGCTCAAACTGTGCCACTTTCACTATGAAGTTTTGTAACAAAAATTATATCCTAGAATGGAAAGTTGTTAATATGCACAACTATTTTATTAAAAAGTCTAACCATAGGGATCTGCGGCATATTTTGAACATTTACATGTCCAGAACTTCTAAGAGTTTGAACTTATACTTATAAAGTTCACTACTGCTCCCCCCTTTCCCTTCATTTTGGGTCTTCCTCAGAATTCAAGTTGGCTGCTACCTATAAATATCTACCTATACTGGTAACATTCCCAAGTTATATCTCTATGTCAGAGATAAAACATATAGATCATATCTAGGAACGAGTACATATACAAAACAAAATATCTATGAATATGATATACAAATGTATCCCCCAAAAGAGGCAGTCTGTGAAACAGCTGTTTTTACAAAGTGCAACCTACAAAATGAAATTCCATAGTATCAATATCTTTTATTCTCTAAACTACTAATGCTGTATCAGACTTTTGTCCCCCTCCCCAGAAATGTACATATACATAGGGAATAAATCAGAACTCTTGTGTTTTAAACCTGGAAATTATGGGTCACAAAATATTTCTGTTCTGGAAAATCTTAATGACTACCAGTAAAATTATATGGAAATTATTCGTCCCTTTTGAAAATACATGGAATTTCATGTGCACTAACAGACAAAAAGTTTGGAATTTTTTGGTCTAGACAGAAAATTTGTTTGGAATTTTAGAAAAAATCAAGAAAAAAAAATCTGGAATTCCAATGTCTTCCATAGGGGGGGGACAGACTATTTCTGGAATAGCCCATTGTGCACAAAATACTGGTATACCAGTATTGCGATCACCAACTACAGGAGATCCCCTTATCGTGATAAATTTTAATATGTTGCAGAAAAAAAGGTTAAATGAGTCTTTCAGTACCAAAAAAAAGCTCAAAAATCATAGATTCAAAAAATATTGACAAATTATTGAACATGAAAAGGGGGTGGGTCCCCAAGCCGACTCAGTGTTTAGACAAGAACCTTGTTGTTGTTGAACTGGTTGTGCTGTACTGTCTTCACCAAAATTGTCATCTTCTAATTCTGCTAATTCCTTGTCCTGATCAGCGAGGAATCCTGCTGCTGGGTCCTCTAAGTCTTCTGGAGCTGAACTTTCAAAAGCATCGAAATCTGCCATTCTTAATTTTAATGTGACGTCACCTGACTAACACTTCCTGTTTAGTAAGATAGTGCTAAAACGTACCACACAGTTTTCGTGCATGAACCATTGTCATCGCTATGTTTAACGAATAGTTACAACTGTATTATTACAACTGAGTCTGTGGTTAAAGTATCTAAATCATTTTAAAAATCATATCTTATTGAATAATACCGTTTTTAATAATAAAAAAATAATATTTTTTTTTATTTCTATTTATATATGATTTAAGGCAAAGTCAATTTGAAAATTTTAAATTAGCAAATACACTATAATTGTACATGTGTGTTTATATTCTTTGGGTATACATTTATAGACATCAACATCACAGAGTGTATTATTGGAAAGAACGGTGTACAAAAGATAATTGTATCGATAAATGATATGCACTCAAAGGGGAGTGCAGATGGTGGTGATATTAGGGTCACAAAATTACTATTATTACTGCATGCGTTTACTAAATATTGCAGTCTGTCAAAGTAGAAAAAACAGGTAGTTTTCTTTTGCAATCAGCTAGCTTAACGATTCATTTACTGGCACTTTTCATTGAAAAAAATACCTATATACCTTTATATAACAAGGTATAGAGGTATTTATATTTTTAATAGAGACAGTGACCGTGATTCAGGTGCACCGTTATGGGGGTCTGGATGTAGTCCTTTATTTCTGTATTCTTCTTTCTTTTTTTGGTCCAATTTTCTGATCATTTTCTTCATTATTTATATTTCTTGTAACCCGAATAATTCCACTGCTCTACGATGGCTCCCTCGCGAGTGGGAGAGTCGATCACGGGGAGGGACTGAATTATTCGGGTTATATTTTTTGCCAATTATTTTCTATTCTGTAAACCCCCATCCACACCCCCGTTATAGATACTTTGTGAAAATAAAGTACGAAATTCATTGTTCACCAGATAAAATCTACCTGCATTGAAATGTGAAGGGCGATATCAATATATGACAGTATGCTATAGTAAACGAGAATGTAATCAAAATGTTACGATGTACCACAGTGTAACTCATTTTTTGGCCCAGCTAATATATATCAGTGTTACATCCATTGTGTAGTTCTATAATTTCATTGGTATAATTGCAATATGTTTTATATTGTTTATCAAGGTCCAATTAGTTGGAAACGTGACTAGATATTTTTGTTATATATTCTTTAGTGTACCAGTCTAGTACTGCTACATTTATTTTTGTCTTCACAAATTGGTTAATGTTGTAGGGTCAATGTGTTCTATTTGGCCAAATATAGACATATTCCCCTGCAAGTGTTGATTTGATAACAAATTAGACTGACCTTACTGGCTTGGGCTGACGGGCAAAACGATGAGTCGCCACGTGTATTCCAGATAGAAACAAACAACAGAACCAAACCAAACAAAGTAACAACAAAAAAAAGATAGCTTTAATTCAGAAATGTCCTCTCATTAATAAGAGCAGTAAATTTTATTAAAATATTTACAATTAGATAAGTATTATCACGGTCTGCGCTGTTTGTAACGTTTTTTTTTTTGTTTTTTTTTTGTATGCATACAGATGTAAAGTTCACTATCTTATTGTGCAATCCTGATTTCAATATGTATAAAAGTTGCAGGATATACTTCACTGAGACAGCAACCCAACGACAAAATATCCAAACAGACATTAAGAGAAGGGGGGGGGGGGGGGGGATTAAGAGGTAACATATACAGTCTTCAACTTCAAACTCTGGTGGATAGTTGTCTCATTGACAATAATACCATAGCTCACCTGGTCAAAAGGGCCAAGTGAGCCTTTTTCATCACTTGGCGTCCGTCGTCGTCTTCGTCTGTTAACTTTTACAAACATCTTTTTTCTCTGAAACTACTGGGCCAAAATCTAATAAAACTAGGACACAAGTATCATTAGGTATCTTGTTTAAAAAATGTGTTCTATGACCCCACCTGTGAACCAACATGGCCGACATGGCTAACAATAGAACATAGGGGTACAATGTATTATCTTGGAAACCGCTATAAAAATCTGACAGGCACACTAATGTTCAGAATGATGAGATCTACATATAGTATATATTGCCATCAAAACTGTCAGACTACTTCTTGTAGGAGTTATTGGCCTTACATGACAAATTTTACTAATGTTTTGCGTTTTTGTCTAATATCTTGAAAACAAAAATAGATAGATGGAAACTTAAATAAGCAAAAGTGATCAGCAAGACAAGATCTAAATATAAGTTGACATGACTGAACTCCTCCTACGATTCCTTGTTGGAGTTATTGCTCTTTAATGACGCCTTTTGCATTTTTTTTAACGTTTTTGTCTATATTTGAAAAACAATCATACATGTAGATAGATGTAAACTTATATAAATCTACAAATAAATCACATGGCGGAAATCGTCCAATGGGTTCTTAATTATTGGAGTTGTTGCTCTTTAATGACGATGTTTACCCAGTTTTGCCTATTATCTTGCAAACCATAGTAGATAAATAAACACTTTAAACAGCAAAATTGATCAGCAAGACAAGATCTACAAATAGGTTAACAAAATCGAAATCGTCTAACAACTCTTGTTACCATTTTTATTTCGTTTTTGCTGAAAAAACTGTAATAGATAGCTAAAAAATTAAATCGGCAAAAATGATCAGCAAGACAAGATCTTCAAAGAAGTTCATGCATAAATCTTCAGTCGACTCTTTTTTTGAAGTTATCATGCCCTTTAATGACGTTTTTTATACATTTCTTTTGCGTTTTGCCTAACATCTTGGTTTCCATAATTCGTCAAGCTAAGTTGCATGTCGATATTCATCATATTCACGATAGAAGAAAAGATGGGGTCATGATATTTGTGGTTAAGGTTAAGGTAAAAAAAAAAAGAGGGGAGGATCAATGTATATATCTCAGAAAAACTTCATTAATGTATTGGAGGATCAAAATAATTTCAAGGACGCATTGTGAAAATTACATCCCCCCCCCCCCCCATTCCAAGGTCAAAACTGATTATTTCCTAAAGAAAGCTCGCAGTCACTATAAGCAAGTTCAAAGTACTTTAACTGCTGATCAATTTGATCGATTGTTTGTTGTTTGCTTATCGTCCAGAGGCAAATATTGCATGCATATTCAGAACAAGAAATAATCAATAATAGGTATAGGTTTTTAAAGGTAGGTCGACAGAAATGAAGGACGTAACATATACACTGCCACATGCAAATTAGATTACTTTGGATAGGGACAGAAATTTTGCCTTACAACTCGTCACCTACGGATTTGACCAGGGCGAAAGACAAGCTATTTTTGGTGTTGAACATATATGGTTTGGCATCTTATAACTTATTACCTATACAAGTAAAATAGTTCTTTTTTTCTTGATTTACTTTTATTTTGCATTTGTTAATTCAAGGTATATGTTATTTCAAATTTTGTCATCCCGGATGATTAGTCTTTCATACCGTACAATGGACAGCCCATTGTTGAAGGCCGTACAAAAACTAGTAGTTATTAACATTTGTGCCCGGTTGGTCGTTGGTTGATACTTGTCTCATTAGCCACAATAATACATCTATTTATAATAATGCGCATCAGGGTAGCTGCGTACTGACATTCGCCCGTTAGTCCAATATGCATGTCGGGAACACATTTTAGTCATCGCCGTCTCTTTATGTTTGTGTTTGTATCAATATTTAGGAAATCTATATTCTGTTGCATCTTCGGCCGATTCTGTGAGCAGCGGATTCACCCGATGTCTGACGATGGAGGGAATTCAATATTTGGTTATCCCTGTTGAAAGCAATTCACAACATGTCCATATACGCGTAGATTAAGAGAAAGAAAAGAAGATAATTCACATTTAAAGTCGAGGGATGTGGATGAAAGTTGTGAAAAAAGAATAAAAACGAAAACAATCAAATAAACAAACAATCTTCAACGCATTTAACAGAAAGTACATGTACATCAATCCAAAATAAAACTGAGGACGAACTTATGTTTCGGAAATGTCGACTGCACTCGTGGCATCTAAGGTGTTGATTCGGATATTAAATCAGGCCAGTCGTACTTTCATTGCATCTTGTGCAGTCTGATTCAGACCTCTCACTTGCTATCGTATATTCATACATCGCGCGTGCTCCCACGTGACATATCAAAAAACGGGAGCGATGAGAGGTTTGATTTTAATCAGACTGTATATTGTGATAAATCATGAGCAAGTTAAGGCTATAGGGATTGTTAATTACCATGCATGACACATATAACTAATCATAGCTTATTTATCGTAAGTTTATTTATCATCGGTATAAAAGATTTCAAATGGCATGAACGACAAATTTATAGAAAACGATCGTACCAATAATTTAGTATGTTTTTCGTCTGCACAAGACTTATCAGTGGCGCTCGAATTAACCAGTTGGGAAACCTTTTCAAAAAACGAAGTTATTATATGACAGAGAGCGTAATAAAATACCTCCTATCTTTTTGGTTTAACCAGCTTTTCAACGTTTGTGTTCGGTTTTTGACTTTCAAATATTTTGGCCTCGAGCATCAATGAAGAGAAAATATTTGTTGAAATGCAAAATCAGGTACAGCAGTAAAATTGGTAACGTTAATATCATAACAATGCCTTGGACTCAATGAATAATTCTCCATACCACATTAAAAGAAAATATTGTAAGAAAATAATACATGTAGTTCTTCGTGCTTTACATATATGAACAAGTGTAAAATATAATACAAGTCGTTTCTTTCCATATTTATTGTTTGTAATTTTACTGTAATTGTTTAAACACTAAACATCGACAAGCACCAAAAAGCAAACACAAAACAACGTTAAAAATATACCCGCGCAAAGCTAAAGTTCATATGAACATTGGTCTTAATCAAATCAAAATTGAGTCAAACTTGACAAAAACAGATTTGATTTGTCACTGATCATATTGCAACAATTATGTCTATCTAAATTATATTAGTATATTAGGGACGTCGTCAACAAATGTCCGGACACAACGGGGGTTGGAATGATGTACAGACACTGGTAAGTCAATATCAATAACAACATGGCCGCGTGATTTCAAAATGCCAAATCTCAAATCGGACTTAAATTTTCAACTAAGACCTCTCTCGCTCTCTCTCTCTCTCTCTCGATCTCTCTCTCCAGTGGCGGATCCAGAAATTTTCATAAGTGGGGGCCCACTGACTGACTAAGAGGGGGCCCGCTCCGATCATGCTTCAGTGATTCCCTATATAACCAACCAAATTTTTCCCAGAAAAGGGGGGGGGCGGACCCCCTGGCCCCCCTTAAAACCGCCTCTGCTCTCTCTCTCTCTCTCTCTCTCTCTCTCTCTCTCTCTCTCTCTCTCTCTCTTAAATAGATGAACACAAGATAAAAACGCTGAAATATCCATGCGCCACTGCTTAACGCAGTTCAGTTATATATACTGCAATTTGTACCGGAGTATATAATAAAACAAATTCTCGAAGAAAAGAGTGCTACAACCCCCTAGACATCTCCTTTTTCTGCTCCATACAATGCGAAGTTATATTTCATCTTCTTGAAATTACCGTAAAACCAATCACTGACCAGATACAGTATTACTGACAACTAGAAGTAGATCGACGTGCATAAAAAAACCGCTAAAATGTAAAAGCGTCACTGCTTAACGCAGTTAAGTTATACTACACATTAAGAAATCTGATTGTTTATAAAAAAAAAGTTCACAGTCAATATGTACATTGTATGTGCTAACATTATAGCTAGGTTGTGTTGATTTTTATGTCAAAATGTACAAGAAGACCCCAGTGATCACTAGGGAATAAACCACATGTGGGAATTTTTCCTTTACCAATCAGCTGAAACGACACTGGAGTTATAACTGGTTCTGTTTTTGGATGTCTCATATATATGCGATCGAATCTAATTTTAGGTTTGAAGTCTTGATGTTCAACCCATTTCAGGTTTGTGTTGATAGATGTGTCCCACGTAAACTGTGTTTCTTTGTTTCTTCCGGTTTCTATCCAAATGTCCAAGACACCTTTGGGAAGTCCCTTGATTTCACGTATCTACAAGTAAAATAATTATGATAATCAAAAAGAATAAGAAATTAACAGGAAAAACAGACACATTGTAAGATAAATTAGATGTTCTGTTAAAATAACTTGAATAATGAATCAGTATTGTCAGGGAACACAATCTACGCTTACAAGTTTGTACGCTAGTCGCGAGTTTCGTATGCACAAGACTCATCAGTGACGCTTGAGTCATAATAGTTTTAAGGCCAAAGCAAGTGAAAGTTGCAAATCAATGATGACCCAAATATAAATTAAAATCCATAGAATTTTTTAATAATTTGTCAAAATGAAGTTTATATAATGCTTTTTCAAAAATATAATAAAGAGTATGGGTCACCGGGCTTTTTTTCACACTACATGTTGTGCAAAATTGTCAGATTTTGTATAGATTATGCATGGAAAACCCAATTTTGTGTGATAGAAAGAAAACTACACCATAGATTTTTAAGATAAAATATGAGAAGATAGTTCTTATAATATACTTCCAGATAAGAAAAAGAACAAAAATGGGATCACCGGACTCGTTTGCTTGCTACAAAATAAAATAGGTAAATTCACAACACATTCTATTATAATAAAATTACTTGATTTGAGTTATCTCCCCTTATATCTGAGTTATTTCCCCTTATGTGGTAAAGTTTAGAAAGAATGAATCAAACACAATTTTTTTCTTTTTTTTTTGTAAAATACAGCGGTAATTATGATAAAACACACAATTTCCTATATTAACATGTAATGTCTAACAGATGAATTACATACTACTGTGGAAATTTGCACATTTCATTGAAGATCTAGACCGATTGTTATCTTCTTTTTCGAAATCCAAGATGGAGGAGGACAACCCATCTACCTTAAGTGATATATGCATGGGTTAGAGCATTACTAGTATTTCGAACGATTTAATTTTCAGTTTTGTAAACAGTAAATTTATGAAAATTACCGATCAGTGATATTTAGTGTCAGCAGTGGCATCGAACTATTGGTTGGAAAAACCCAATCAAAACACCAGCATTATACACTACTTTTGAAAGTATAACTTGTTTAAAAGGGAAAATGGGTAATTTGATACGGTTAATTGATCCAGTGTACGATTACATTTCTTTCGCAACACTTTTGAAGTCAACAATTAAGTTGGTAAAAAAAAAAAAATGTCGTATTTTTTTTCCCACGCTTCGAAGTTTTGAAAGAATGTAATCATGCCATATTCAGTCCGTGTTTGTGTACAAGAACAAAGGACTAAGTCTAATCCTGCACCAATTTGGCGTTATACTTTGTCTATCTCGTTGTGGTAGCTATGGGGTCGTGCAAATATAATATTATTTAAGTTAAGATATAACAGCTCTAGGTTACAATTTGAATTTCTAAACGAATTAGCATTCATATAGCTACTGTTTTACATCTATTTCTAAGGAAAATAACGGTACAATTAAATTTGCAAATGGATATTCCCAAAGGAAATGAAAATAGGGATTAGAATGATAGTTCGACTGACAGATATTTCTATTCATCTATTCAATATCCATACTAATTTGATGAATTGAAGGTCAGAAATGAAATCGTCTTTTTGCTCTGTTAGTCTTGTATGTGTTTTAATTTTAGTTCATTAAGATGTTTTGGGGTTTAGTGTGACCTCCATTTTCAATGAACTAATACACAGTTTTGTTTATGGGCCAGCTGAAGAACACCTGCGGGATTTTCTCGCTGTATGAAGACCCATTGGTGAACTTAGGCTGTTTTCTGCTCTTTGGTCGGGTTGTTGTCTCTTTGACACATTCCCGCATTTCCATTCTCAATTCTATTTACTTAATATGAGATCTCAGATCTCACACAAAGGTCAATGTTAAGGCAATATTGGCCGGGGCGTTTGCTCTGAAGTTCTTGGTGTGCACACACAATGTAAATAGACAGTCCAAGTACATGTACATATAATATTAGTATCTGATTAAAAGTATGACCTTTAAATATATTTGACTATACTTTAAATCGTATGGATTCTAGATTCAATTTCGCATCATTTTGGGCGAAATACTTCCAAAGGACCAATTCAGGCTTGGCAACAACGTCCAATTCATTTTTTGAACTATCATTGGAACCATTCTTACCTCTCTGTCTTTAATGTTAAAGTCTCCGCCAAAAAGCACAGTTCTGTCACGACTAGCATTTACCATATGGTGAAGAGCTCTTTTCATCTGATGTTTCCTCTCATCACTATTGATTTTCATACTTTCCAAATGTGATGTCATCAATAAGCAAGGTAAACCTTTTATTGTACACTAAAATAAATATATATATTAGATTTTGTTTATCATGTTTATGTACGCGAAGCATTTGCAGATTGGTTAATTGTAAATGTAGTCTGTAGAATGTACTTTACAATTTAATTTCAATTTTATTGCCAAATTTATCAACGAAGTTTTTTACTGTTCTTTATGCCTTTTCTTGATGTTACTTCCAATATACTTGTACATTTCTTTGCATGCACGCTCATAATATATTTTTTTTAGAAATGTCATAACTTTTAAATGAACAAATAATATGAAAAAGAGACATTTTACCCAAGCCGTGAGCTAGATAAAAAATGGTGTAAAATAAAAAATAAACATTAAGTGATCGTTTGACACAAGACCAAGGATGCCAACAGAGCAAGTGTCTTCTGCATCACCCTAATTCTGTTAAACCGCTGTCATTTGGTCAAAATTAATGACAGGAAGGACTTACGTTATTTATGTGAAGCTCATATACATTTTTAACCACCAAAGCAATTTATCAATCAGAAAACGAGAACAATTTTGCAGCTGTAATGTCCTGCAGAAATTATTTTTTACAACTGGATCGATTTATAATCGACGAAGCCAACAAGTACAGACGCCCTAATACGACGCTCTTCTTTTGTTGTGTAAACAAAGTCATGTTGCAATCAATACAATCTTTAATAATTCAGTAAGTCAATTTGTATTACACTTTGAAATTGTAAAAAAAGTTGTATTCGAGGACTTGGTCTGCCTAAAATTAAAAATGATCGCGTTTTGATCGTGTACTTGATTCTGCTTCGACTACATGTGTTAATATGCCCATAAAGCATGACGTGAAAGATTTTTTTTCTTACGTTATCTCAATATATGATTTTGTTATAGTTGAAATTTTAATATTAAAGGTTTTTATTTGCGTTTATAAGCATTTCATTATTTTTAGCAAACATGAAACATTATAATAAGAGATTTAAGGAAAGTCCCTGTACCGACTGTTTACAGCCACTTTGATAGGTAATATGAAGGGGATCGTTTCTAAATAGAAAAAAACCAGAAAGAAGCAACTAACATTTCAAGGTGTAAGTTGCCAATAACTGTTAACCGCGATTTTACATAATGATTTATCTAATTCAAGAAAGAATGTTTTGTGTTCACAAGTCATATACAGTTTTTTTAAAATATGTCTCAGCTTTTGTCTTGCGTGCCTCACTCATACAAGTGAGAGGTTTAGCTAGCAATACAACCAGGTTTAATCCACCATTTTCTACATTAGAAAATGCCTATACCAAGTCAGGAATATGACAGTTGTTATCCAGTCGTTTGATGTGTTTGAGCTTTTGATTTTGTGACTTTCCGTTTTGAATTTTCCTCGGAGTTCGGTATTTTTGTGATTTTATTTTTTTCCATAAATGTTTTCTATAGATATAAACATGAGTAGATATTGTATGATTGACAATGAGAAAAATGTCCACCAGCCTTCAATAATGAGAAACCCCATACTGTAGTGATATAATAATCCCCGATAAGACAAAGTATGAAACATTTCAAACGAGAAAAACTAACGGTCTAATCTATAACAAAACAATTTACAAAAAATAAATATGACCGGAACATAAATAATGTGGCGGGGTTGAACAAGTTTGTGAGCGCCCAACCCTCCCTGACTTGGGACTATGGTGTAACAGCAACCCCTGGTACTTAAACATGTTGAATATCATTACCATTTGTCCGTGACTGTGGAACAGGAATTCATTTCTAACGGAAAACTGGCTTTATAAAAAAGAAGATGTAGTGTGATTGCCAATGAGACAACTATTCACAAGAGACCAAAATGACACAGAAATTAACAACTATAGGTCACCGTACGGCCTTCAACAATGAGCAAAACCCATACCGCATAGTCAGCTATAAAAGGCCCCGAAATGACAAATATAAAACAATTCAAACGAGAAAACTAACGGCCTAATTTATGTATAAAAAAAATGAACGTAAAACAAATATGTAACACAGCAACAAACAACAACCACTGAATTACAGGCTCCTGACTTGGGACAGGCACATACATACAGAATGTGGCGGGGTTAAACATGTTAGCGGGATCCCAACCCTCAACCTAACCTGCAACAGTGGTGTAACAGTACAACATAATAACGAACTATAAAAATCAGTTGGAAAAGGCTTAACTCATCAGATGGATACAAATAGAAATACATCTAACAAAAACAGAGTGGACGTGGCCGGGTACTTGTATATCCCAACAACAAAAAGATACTAAGTACAGATCTGAGAGTACTCGCAGTTACTGACACCTAGTTCAAAGCCACTAACAAGTAATGAAAACAATCATGCATCTAAGACTAAATAGATGTTTGTTTATTTATTCACTATGGCATTGTAGTTGTAGAAGTGTAAAAAGGAAAAAAACAAAACAAAAACTGGACGACATATACGATCTAAATTTTCTGTTACGGAATATCTGGACTCAAATTTTACTGCTTATTTATTGTCGGTGGAGTGATAATATACTTCTTCCAGGGGACACTTGCATCAAGTGCGCCGTAAAAATAATATATGAGACGACCCCTCTTTTTTTATCTGTCAAAGTCGGTGTCAACAGTAACCGAAACTTTCCGTTAATCTGTACTACGAGTCTTATCATCTTTTGTTTTTAGGAAAAATGACCACATGCAAACCGGTAGGATTAAAACCTCCCGGTTTTTGGTTGGGTTGGTGTTATTCATA